CAGATTCTAAAACCAAAACCCAAACAAACAAAAACATTCAAATTCTCTGACTTCTGGCCTATTACTATTTTTTCTTACTGTTCCATTTAACTTAAAAATAGATCTGAGCATGGAGTAACATTTACAGAAAAATTATGAAGATCCTATAAATAGTTCTCACATAAAAACCAAGCAGGGTGGCACACACCTATAATCCCAACACTCAGGAAGTGGTAGCAGGTGGATCAGAGAAGTTCAAGGCCAGACTAGACTACATGAGAGCCTGTCTACAAGATAAAAAAGCTCTCATATAATCTAGATACAGCAATTATTTTTAACTAATAAATGTGAAGTATGGGATCTAAGTAAATTCAAAAAGGATGACTATTTTCAAAGAAGACAAATGCATACTGAGAAACAAAGAACTACATAAAGGGATAGATCCAGCACAAGATCAGGGCTCCAATGATCTTTGTTGTATTTACAAATCACACAAATTACACTGGGAGGGTGACACAGGAGTTCAAGGCAGATTGTGAGTTCAAGGCCACCATGGGATACATAATGAGATTTTTATCTCAAAAAACCAAAACCAAAACCAAAAGGTACAAATGTTTCTAAAACAAAAACATATAAAACCTATTTTAAGCAGAGTTACAAGGGGAAAAAGGCATAATAAATCTCCAGAGGTTCAACATTATGAAAATAAGTTCAGAATGCATCTATTTCATAGACTACCAGATAAAGTGGTAAATGTTAAACTTGTCTTAAATCCTGAACATTTAACTTCCTAAAATTACCATATGAAGCCAAAGTAAATTAACACACCTGACAAAGCATCCTTCAACGGTTTTAAAAGAATACAAATAAAACATTTAAAGCAAATAAAATTTTTATAAAGAAAAAGGAAACTAATAAAAACCTGTGGTACGGTGGGTAGGATGACAGTGTTCTCAGCAGGGACTGGCAGGACAGGGACCACAGGGACAGTGGGAGAGGAGGGAGGAACAGCTTCTGTTGGCTAAAATCATCAATGACAAAAAATCAGAAGAAACACCAAAATAAAAGAAAAACAAATAAAGCTGTGCCATAAAGATAAATTATGGTTCTCCAAAATAATAAAAAGGAAAATCATTAATGTATTACTTTAGTTACATAATAGAGGACTGTTCTATGACAATTTAATAACAATTATACCATCATTTATAATTTTAAAATTTCTTTAGTTAGAAAGTATATTCTTCAGATGTACAAATAAAAAGAAGATAGTTACATACACTACAATTTCATTTTGAGATGTTTGTTTCACAGATTGGAAAGAACTTTTCTAGCATTCAGAAGGTACCTGACTGATTTCCTTTTCACATTCAAAAAAACAAGTCATTTTATTAGCCCACCATGCAATGAGTTCATAAATCCAGACAAAAAACTTAAACAATGAATTTGTATAATTTTAAAATAATCTGTGCTATTAATCTCTTCTATCAAGAAGAGTAAATAGCCTACCTAAATGTGCCTGTATAGTCATTAACCAACTAACATTGTCAATTACATACAAGATATATTCTGGCAAAATGAAAAAAGAAGGCATACAAAGAACTTTAGTGCTTTAAACTAGTAAGTTTTGACAATTATGTTTAATAACTTTATCTAACTTGATTCAATTATTTTAAAAAAAGATGCAATGAGCACAGAAAAGATGTTTTCTAACAAGATAAAATGAAAATAAACTAAATCAACTCATAAATATTTGCTACAGAAATGACATATATTATGCAAGTAAAACACTGAAATCCAGTAGGTAAGACAACAGAAGGTATTAACAAAGATAGAACAGCAGAAAAAACTGAAGATGAAGCTATTTTGGTTGTCACTGATAAAAGCAAAATTATAATAATGAA